TACATGACAGCATGCAGGGAACATAATATATTAAATTAATAAGAGGCATTAATTCAGGTTAAATGACTTGATAAATTACTCGTAATGTAACATGTAATAAAATACACAGGTGCGGATAGATCGTAAAAAAGGGGAAAGTATATATTTACTTAACGTAATATGCCACACATATATCTTACGTGCTAATTCACGTACAATTCATACACAATGATGAAAATGATTAAGTAAACGTATAACAAGACAACAAGAGTAGCGTGAAATTTATTCTGGATAAATTTCATTCTCTTGTAATAGTTTGATAGACACATTGCTTACAAACTGACGAGTACACTTCTTAGGGCCGATTGTTCCAACCTGTTGGTAAGCTAAATAATAGTCAAATCATATGTCTATCTTTGTCTAATTTAAAGGAAAAACAAAGACATATATACGATTTAACTGTTAGTTAGTTTACCAACAGGTTGGAACAACCGGCCTTTGTTCATTTGTTTACTGATTGAGAAATTGATTTAACTTTATCGATTGAATTGCAGCTTACTTTAAAGTTATAATCAATTTAATTTGCGAATGGCTTTGATTTAAAAATCTACTCAAAGGAAAAATTACGGAAGGTAATTGAGGGACGGCTTTGATTTAAAAATCTGCTCAAACGGAAAATTACGGAAGGCGTTATCGAAGATCTCTGTGAAAGCGGTCGAAACCAATTCGTTAATTAGGCCCCTCGTCAGTACGAAACCCGGCTGCCATGTATAATTAATTATTTTATCGAGGATACTCTCTAAGAATCGCTTGCCAAATAGAAGATTTGTAATGTGAAGTTCTAAGTTGTTGATTGATTGGACGTCCATTTGAGACCGCAATTTCTGTCCCGGCAACTTGGTCACAGTAGTCGTTTGTATGAGATCATCTACAATAAGGAAAAATTGTAAAGCAAATAAACGCTTTAATATTTCTGCTTTTTTTTTCACTAAAGCCATATTAATATCTACAACATCAGTGGCAAAATATCGTATTTTCTTACATTGTACACCAGATTTACAATAAAAGTAATCGAATGCGAATTTGCTAATAGCACTTACACAAAGCGAGCGTGAATTTTCCTCTAGTGGTTATAGCGGAGCTGAAGAATTTTCCTTTAAATTCGTAATTACCCGTCAGCCTTTTCTCTGGGAAACTTTGCGTGTACACAACCTAATTGATGCAATGTTTTGTTTAGTTATTTCGTCACCCATCATATTACTTCCACTTACATTTTCCATAATAAAAGTTAAATGTCATATACAGAAGATAATATGCAATTAATATATGCCATTAATATATTTTTATGTTTAATATAAGGTATATGTGCTATATATAAAGTTCATTCTACGATAGCCGTAAAAGTATGCGTTAAGACGTAAGCAGTAAAAATTGACCAACTACAGTCGATCATTCTTGGATTGTAAAAATCCCATTAGTCAATAGCTTACTGCTTACGTCTTAACGTATACTTTTACGGCTATTGTAGAATGGGCTTAAGTGACAGATTCTCCGACGACATAAAATTACGTACATAATGCACGAATGTAAAATAAGTACACAATGTTACGTTAATTGAATATCTAACGTATAATTATATCGACGGACAGTGCATGTACCTTGTAATTTCTCAGATCGGAAACAAATTTTGTCACTTTGCTGTTAGACCATCCAGTCTCGGTGACATTTCGAAGGGTTAAAGTAAAACCGAAATTCGGTACTCCTCTTACAGCCGTTATCTCTCTGGCAAAGAAGGGATCAAATGGAAGCACATTGTATTTTGGTAAACCAGTTTTGAAGTAAGGATTTAACTTATTTAATCCCTCTCGCACGCAGACGTCAAAACCTGGTACGTTGGGGTAACAATTCTTAAAGTTGTCCTCTAAAAACAACAACACATAATTAATAATAATCTATCTTAAATATACATTATGAAAAAAGATTGAGCAAGGAGTATCTGTGACGAATAATTACAATATGTTAAAGTTAATATCTCTCTCGATATATTTTTTTATACAATTTTACTCTAATTAAAACAAAATAGAAAATTATATAAAACTCAAGCTATTTATGACCGCCATTTATAACAGCTGAATTAAATTAGTAGATATGTGTGATGTTTAAGAATTATTGTCAAAATACGTTTTAACATTGAATGTTAATATATTACGTATTAACATTGAATGCACACACGTAATCGCACATAATATAACTTTCACTTCCAGGTATTCCGGTTTTGATAGTACCATGCATTCCTTAAGAACATCTCACTCATGTACTTCGCATTCTATTACAAAATGGGAGATAATACAGTATGTAATATATCAACAAATAGATTGCATGTCCATTTTTGCTAGAAGGTGTATTTTTGCATATTTCACTCTAAATAGTCATTAAATTATATTATTTTAATTACTTTGTCATTGTTCAAAACAAAAACGCAATGATATACGCGTCACGATCTTTTTATAGTTTATAATAAGCATGAATTTACAAAGGGAAGAAAGAGATTTTCTTTTCTTATTCCTCTTCTTCTTTAAAGATTCAAAAACATTGGAAAATTTTTGTAATTTACTATTTCCGTCTAACATATTCATTTCTTTAAAGATTAGCATTAAAGTCAAAATTTGCAATCTCTAAATTTTATGTATCATCGAAATATACAATAATGAAATATACAATATAATTTGATTTCATGTATTATTTTGAGTGCGTATTTATATGGTTCAAATAGTGTAATTAACCTTTAACTCTTTAGTGAAAGTAATATATTTCGTAATATTTTATATCAATAACTTTGCCCGCCACTCCTTTTGAAAATATTTGATTAATCAATTCTTAACTTGATATGTGATGTATATAAGTATAATAAAAATTTTGATTGTCGAGAGAAATTTAAAGAGAAAATTTTCAGAGTGCGTCATATCAAACATCTTGCGAATTCTGTTGGACCGTTACGAATCTGTTGACTTCACTGTGAATGCTGCGCTTTTCTTATACCGAGAGAACACCGAGCATTGAAATGACCGGCGCGGCCGCGGCGTCGGAGTTCACTGCACGTGCGGTCGTTGAAGTCACCGAGAATTACTTACCGAAATCGGCAGCAACTGTAGCGCGCAACAGTAGCGCAAGCAAAAAAGCCCTTAGCTGCATCTCTTCGTTTTCTCTTTCACTCTTTCTCCGTTCGATAAATCTGAAGTACGCAAAATAAAAACACCTTGATACTTATCGAACGATAGGCGATTCACTTGTAGTATTACGTGGAGGAGCGCGTACCACGCACTTTCACTGTTTGCGATACATCTGAGAGGAGGGTTAGCGTACTGCTTCCGAGTCGTGAAATTTTGGTGGAGATTTTACGTAATTTCATCGGCGAAAACATCAGGGAGAAGGGCGTCGTATGGTATTCGAGTGGGAGCGAGAAATATCGTGAGAAGCTCTCTTTCTTTCCTGCTGCTTCAACATTTGGACCAGTTTCTTCGTGCGCTAACGTTACAAGAGAGAAAACGCGTGTTGTGCAGCTGATTACCTAACGTTACATCGCGCGGTTAAAGGCGGAACAATTCGCAATCGGTTATGGAATAGTACCTACAGCCTTTCGATACACGTGTTGAACTCAAAATGTTTTTTACTACTATACTTAAGATTTATATTTACTAAATATTGTCCGTTTTCTAAGCTTCTATGTACAAAATACATCTAAATTAAATATTAAACAATTTATCTAAAATAGAAAATTATTTATACTTTTTTAAAAAATATATAAATTTGATGTCGTTAGAAGCATGCATGGTTCAGATTTTCTGATATTTTGATTTTATTAATAACCGATAAACACGAGTTATCGGTTTTCTAGACTATATGTAAAGTGAGTCTTCTTAGATTCGGGTTTAAAACAAACGCACTTGATTATTTTTACATTATTTGTGATTACACAAATGAATTACATTATATGTATAATTAAAACTTTTAGCACACAAAGAAATAAATCTACTTTCTGAACATTTATTGATTTTAATTTAAAAAAAAAACTAACTGATTAACAATTTTTTTTAATGTCAATTGTTGTTTCCACTGTGAAAACACTCACTCTAGTGAATATTTTAAATACGTGTTTAGTTTTTGTGTAATTGTAAAACACATAAAAATAATATAAATTTTTCTATTTAAATTATATTGTATATTTTTATATTGTAATTTTAATAAATATTACTGCCCAACATTATGTGTTGCGATTAATTTGGCGCCTAGTTTCCCGTTTTTTAAGAGATTTCTAATTCGAATAATTAATTTGCATATTTGAATAATTTCTCAATTCATTAAAATTTAAATTGATTATTTATTCAAATTTTAAATAATGCGATTTGAAGAGATAATAATTTTACATAATTTATATGTTAAATTCTAATAAATGTAGCTTTTCTATACAGTTTTTATATAGCTATTTATATAGCTTTAGCTTTATTAGCTATTTGCTTACCTTTTAATGCGAAGCTCGAAAATACTGCAGATGTTCACTCAGCAAGGAGAGACACCAGACTTGGCTATCGTTTTCGCTTATCCAACTTGATCTGATATAAAAGAACGAACTCAAAAAATGCAAAACAACGAGGAGAAATACTAGTTTTTTCAAGGGATCGTTAATTATGAATGTCTATCAGACAGACGAGACATTATATGAATCATATGTGCAAATAAACGAACGTGTTTCTAGATGACGTCTCAAGAACGTTTTTTAAAGATATTTTTAAAACTTTACCAAAACACGTTTTCAAGATTTACACAAACTTTACACGAAAAACATTTTCAAATTTTCTGAAAATACATTTGAGTTAAATTTTATAAGATATTTTTTTTTGAAGCATGTACAGTTATTTATGTTATAATTGTTATTAACTGTAATATTGATTTAAATATAATATGGCCATTCTAATTATAATATAGCTTATAAAAATGTTTGCTGGTTAAAATTTGGCACTCTAATATTTTTTATTATTCAATGTCACTACGACATAATTAAGGTTTATAAAAAAGTATTTTTGTCATTCGAGATTTAAATAAATTAACTTCTACATTTTTTGCGTAGATGATTCAGTAAGGAGAAACGTTTAGCCAAGAAACATGATATTATGTCATATTTGTCAAGTGCTTATTTTGCCAAGAAGGAATGTTTACTGCTGTTATATTGTGTCCTCGTGTTTTTTTCCATGCTAAAATGTTTGATTTTTATTATACCTGGTTGATATATATATATATATATATATATATATATATATATATATATATATA